CTAAATGTGACATGGAGTTGGCAGAGGCTAACGAAGAGTGACATGTTTCAGTAATTCGAGTGACATTCATAACACAAAAAGCAATTCGAGTGACCGGAGTTGGACGGAGGCTAACGAGAGGGGAGCGGATCAGGTCAGTAACCATTATGGTGAGTAACCATCAGTAACCTGTCCACATTCGCAAGACATCAGCATCCCCTCTCTCTTGGAAAGTCTTTTATCTTTTCCCCTTTAATCTTTAACGGACGATTTCTCTCTCGTTTTAAGTCGATATTTAAAAAAATTTGCACAGATAAATCAGATTAAATGTGCTCTTTAAAATGATATCCACTTTGATATATTTTTAGTACAAAAAAAATTGAATAATTTTTTACCAGACATTACCATATGGTATGCTCATATTTAATACCATATGGTAAGAAAACGTACCATGATGATATGAACATACCAATATGGTAAGAAGTTTGAATACATGATAGTAGGAGTATACTAACTTTCATTTACGACTTTCATCATTGTTTACCATAAGTTACCACCCACATATCATAGTGGTAAAGTATGGTAATTTTTGTCTAGTATTTTTTTCACCCAGAAATTTGTAGATCCAATAGATCATGATGAACTCGTTCCTTCTGAGCAAACGTTTTCAAAAACGACTTAAAAATGAAGAAGTTACCAGATGGTATGTTGTTGGTAAAAAAAATTCTCGAAATATATTGAAAATTGATCTCATTTTGTAGAGCACAACGAACTCGTTCCATTTGTGCAAAAAAAAAATTGAAATCCGAGTTAAAACGAAGAAGATATGAGCCAATTATGAAAACTAGGAAAAATAAAATGTCTTTAATTGACAACTGTTAGATCTGGATTTTCTAGGCTCACTTAGATCTAAAGGTTCAGATTTAGTTATTCATAGGTTAGTAACCAATGGCTACTCACCTTATCCTAAGCCTAACGAGAGAGTGACTAAATGTAACCTGTTTTAGTAATTTGAGTGACTAAAATTGATATTAATTTTTTAATGATTAAACATAAAATGATTTAGTAATTCCAGTGACCAAATGTGATATTTACCCAAAATGATAATGATGATGATGAAAAAGTACTCCAATTCCCCTCCTTTCAGCCTTTTTATCTTCTCATCAGTATCAGTCATCACTTTGTCCTCTGTATCGACAGTGCTGAAATCCAAACCCATTATTGGTTTGCGATTTCTCCCTTATTTAGCATGTGCGCATGCAGTGAAGGCTGCAGATCACCACCTCTTTAAACTAATATCATCAGTTCATCACCCTTCCCAATCAAACTAGCATTACTGCCACTTCATATTTCATTACCACTACACAATGACACTCGCCTCGTGATAGATATAACCTAAAAGGAACATGTTTTATGGAAGCCAATCTACCAATAATTTACTTGATTTAGAATGATGAAACCTTAATTCGAGATCCATGAACTATATGGTTTAAGGTGTTGGCCATAGGTTTCGAGATACAAGTATCCAACCATGATGAGTAAATCACTTAATCTTAACCTATATATTATAGACAATCTAATTACCATATCGGAAATACAAGGGAAGGACTAATTATTAAGATAGATATTGAGAAAGCGTATGATCTTCTTCATTGGAGCTTCCTAAGAGACACTCTAGGTGAGATTGGCCTCCCAGACACTTGTATCAGTAGGATTATGACTTGTGTGGAGCGAAACCAGATGCGCATCAACTAGAATGGAGAGTTAACCTCAGTGATCAGGCCATCAAGAGGAGTCAGACAAGGAGATCCTTTGTCCCCTTTTCTTTTTGTTCTTTGTATGGAAAGATTAGCACACCGCATTGAACAGGCAGTAGACGAGAAACTTTGGAAACCAATCCTTCTTACTAAGGATGGTCCAAAGTTATCTCACCTATTTTTTTTCTAATAATTTGATTTTGTTTGCAGAAGCGGAAGGAGGGCAAATTGATGTCATCCGATCTTGCCTGGAAGATTTTTGCCTTAGCTCGGGTCAAAGAGTGAACTTCAACAAGTCTGCCATGTATATCTCCCCCAATGTGCAGAGAGATAAAGCTCAGAGGCTTGGTGCGAGGGCTGGAATCACTCTAACTAATGACCTAGGAAGATATCTGGGTCTTAAAGCCATGAATGGAAGAATCACCAAAAGGAGACACAAAGAGCTGATTTTGAGGATCCAACAGATCTGGCAAATTGGAAAACCAACCATCTGTCCGCGACGACCAGAATTACCTTTTTGAAGTCGATAGCCTTTTCTATGGCAATTTATCCCATGTTTACAGAACGATTACCTGCTGCGGTTTCCAATTCTCTTGACAGGATTAATCGTCAGTTTGTGTGAGGAGAAGATGGTAAAACAAGTTTCACCGGGTAGCATGGGAGCAAATGACGAGACTGAGACAAAAAGGTGGAGTTGGAATAAGATCGACCAAACTAGCCAATCAAGTGATGTTAGCTAAAGGGGCGTGGAAGCTGGCTACTAGAGAGCAAGCTCTTTGGGCTAGAGTGATGAGAAGCAAATAAGAGAGAAATCGACAAGAACTTACCGTACTCCAAAAAAGAAAGGTAAGTTCTTTCACTTGGAATATTTTTTCACACACTACTAACTTGTTGCGCAGGGGGCAGCTTATAACGTTAAAACATGACAGAAAACTAAATTTTGGACTGATGTGTGGGCTTTGCAGGAACCGGTCATGGAAGTAGTTACAAGCGAGGTGCCACTGGAGAAGAAAGACGACCTGGTTGCTGACTATTGGGAGGAGCCGGGTGGATGAAAAATCCAAGAGTTGTTGCAATACCTACCTCCCGAAATCATCAACAAAATTTGTGACATCATGTTAGACCCTCTCGCATATAAGGAGGATCAGCTCTTCTGGAACATTACATCTACTAGCAGGTTCAGTACCAGCTCAGCCTACACAACGAACTCACCAGCTCAAGACAATGCAGGCTGATTGCAATGGCACAAGATCCGAGCCTTTGCTGCCCAGAAAGAGTGTGTTTCTTCATGTGGTTAGCAATGAAGGGAAAGCTCTCGACCAATAGCTTTTGTAAATATAGGCATATGATTACCAGTGACGCGTGCCCTTTATGCAACGATGTTGTTGTGAAAATATGCACTGTCTGCGGGACTGTACAACAACGAAGAAGACTTGGATGAAGGCAATTCCAACGTAGGCACACCTCGGTTTCTTTGCTACTGATCAAGAGGTGTGGTTCCTAATGAACCTGGAAGGGAAGGTCAAAGATGATGACCAGGATAACTGGCCCAACATGTTTGCTTTGATGTGTTGGTATATTTGTAAGTATATATGCAATTTTATTTTTCAGGTGAATAAGCTGGTTGAATCATCCATTACCAACTATATCACCTCCAAAGCGACATCATGGATAAATACATGGGAGATAGCTAATCTCAACATAGACTCCAATAGAGGGCATCAGCGAGTGGATCAAATGGTCAGGTGGACAGCTCCATCAGGAGGATCGTCGTGGATGAATACTGATGGTGTGGCACAGGGAAGCTCGGGACTGGCATCTGCAGGAGGAGTACTCATGGATAGTGATGGAGATTGGATAGGTGGATTCTGCTGCAAGATAGGGTCAGGTTCGACGATTTTAGCAGAGCTATGGGGGATCCATCAAGGACTCATTTTGGCTTGGAATCAAGGGTCTCAGTTTCTTCTTATTGGAACGGATTCACAACTAGCTATTGATCTTATCAGGAACATAGAAGAGTAGATACACCCTTATTCCACTATTCGTACGGCTATCAGGCGATTATTGGCTCAGAATTGGGTGGTGAGGTTAGTCCACACGTACAGAGAGGGGAATAGAGCCGCGGACTGGATCTCGAAACACAGTCTTGTCTATCCCTTTGGTACGAAATGTGAGCTCTGCAGGTGTAGGCTTTGCCTTTTCATCTTCGAGTTTAGGGGCACTTTCTTTGGGTGTTTGTTTGGCCTGATCGAATGCAGCGATGCATTGGAAGAGCCCTGATTTTGGGGTTTCCCCCTGTAGCCTTGCTGGCATTTTGCCTCCTTCCAATAAAAAAATCAAAAAATACAAGGGAATGGACTCTTGTATATTAGTGTCCACCTACCCAAATTAATACAATGTCTTTTGGGGAGGATACCCAACAGTAAAACCATACGGGTTTGGCCCAAAGCGGACAAAATCGTACTAATAGAGATGCTCGATTTTCACAGTATATGTTTTATCTTTTGACGAAAATTGTTTAATGTTTTGTTTGGGAGGAGGTGCAAGTATAGGGGGTGCATATACTGGGGGTAAGTGGCATTCCCGAGATAATTGCACTCATTTGGTTAGAATTGAATAGTGCTAGGAGTTGAGAAAGTGGAGGCAAGTTCACTGTTCTACTTCTACCTCCCTCACCAAATCGGGGTGCAAAGAAGGGAAGAAGTGGAAGTTGATTATTATATTGGAGGTGGAATGTGGGAAAATGTAGGTTATGAGAGAGTGTTGGGCCATGATGAGTGGGGCCATAGAAAATGGGTGGGTTTTGGATATTTTTTATTCGTTTTGTTTTTTCTTTTTCAATTATAATATTTTTCTTTTTATTTTGCTACTATCATTTGCACCCCTTACTTTATCCGTCAAACAACAATTTGCACCACCATTTACACTCATTTATAATTTGCTCCCCTATAATTTACCCATTAACTTGCACCCTACTGGAATTTGCAACCCACTTGTTGTCAAACATAGCGTAACAATTCTTTGAACGCAAGATTTTTCATTATTCACAAATTTAGCAGGCACCTCAATTACCAATCTACTGCCACAGACATCCCGATTCGTCATAAATTTTAATTTTCAAGCAAGAGTATTGATAAGTGATATTGAACAAAGTTTGTGTTTGTTAGAAAATTAAAACATAATAGTTATCACCTAAAATAGAAAAACAAATTAAGATTTGTTAATACGTCAAACTTGTACAGTAGAATGCCATTTGAATCATTTGCTTAACTGTAATGTTTATATTTATCATTGTTCCACTGCGTTGACATTTCTTCAAATCACAGTTTACTAGCACAATAAACACGGAGTGACATCCCCAAAACCCAATAAAAAAACCTCCCAACCCCATAATATTACAACTCTGCCCACAAACTCCCACCTCCGCGACACATCTTATTGCTACAAGACTACAAGGCAACTGGGGGGCACTTCCGTAAAACCAACATCCCTAGAACTCAGAAAGTCGCCTTCTTCAACGAAGTCAACGTGATCTTCGCCCCCAACGGCGACGTTCCGACCTCGATATCAAACGAATCGTACCTACTAAACAGCTCCACGACAAACAACCTCGCCACCATGACCACAAAATCCTTCCCGGCGCACTGCTTGTTCGCCACGCTGGCCCGCTCCGTCTCCGGCCCGTTCGACCACATCACGTGCGACAGCAGCTCCTCTCCTTCCCCAACAAACCGGTCGGGTACGAACTCCTCGGGTCGGTCAAATATCTTCGGGTCCTTAGTCGCAAACGGCTGGTACCCGAAAAGCATCTCCCCTTCTTTCACCTCGTACGCCGCGTCGTGGCTCTCCAGCACGAAATCCTTCTTCGCCTTCCCGTACTGCAGCGACACCGGCGGATCGATACGCAGCGTTTCGTACACCACGGATTTCATCAGCGGCATCTTCTCCATCGCCGCCATCGTGATTCCACCGCCGCCGGCGGCGGTAGCGGTTCGGATCTCCCGGGCGAGTCGGGTGTGGACCTCCATCCCCGCCCGCCCGATCCACTTCATCAAGCTCGGGAACAAGATCTTGAACCCGCCCCACGAGTTGAAGCAGATCGCGAACAAGATGTTGTGGCAGGCTTCCTCCCTCGAGATCCCTGATTTCTCTGCCTCGTCGAGGAACGTTCCCGCGGCGGAGGAGAAGAACTCGTAGAGGCGGGTGTAATCCTTCTGTACGAGCGTGGGCGGGAGGCGGACGGAGTGGAGCGTGGCTTCCTCGACCTCCTTCGGCAGCCCGACGGAGAGGATCGGGGCGAGATTGAACAGAACCCACTTCGAGATCAGCGTCGGCGCGTCCTTCCCCAACGCTGTGTCGATCGGCCTCACGCCGAAGAAGGCGCGCGAGAGGAAATTGAAAGCGGCCTGCTCGTTCGGGTCGGCGAACTCTGCTTTCCCTTTCGTCGCGATATCGTACTCCAGCACCTCGAAAAGCTCCGTGAAGGCCGAATTGAACTCGGGGATCACGAATTCGCGGCGGGATTTGATCAAATTGAAGAGCAATTGCTTGAGCTTGGCGTGATTGGATTCGGAGGGGTCGAGGTAGGACAGGATTCGGTACCCGCCGGTGAGATCCGTGGAGGGCATGTAGGTTCCAGTGAAGAGATCCTTCTTCTCGACTTTCGACAGATCGAAGAGGATGGGGAAGCTTTTCCCGTCGAGCAGGACGATGACGCGAGGGTTGGTGGAGATGAAAGGGCCCGGGGGCATGTTGACTCGGTAGACCGTTGACTGGTACTTCTGCATTCGGGATTTGAAGAACTCGTTGCGGCCTTGGTTGTAGAAGTAATCGAGGCGGTCTTGGATGGGTCCGACTCCAGGGAGGCCATAGTCGCCCGGAATCTGTCGGATTGGGAGATTGGATTGAGGGGACGATGACGGGGCCGGTTTGGTCAAACCTGGGATGGAGGAGAGTGGGGATTTGTCGAATATGGAGGCTTTGATTGGGCGGAGGGAGGAGGGGAATCTTCTGGCGGTGGTGAATCTGTGGGAGGGTGGAGTGGGTTTCGGGGATTGTTGGAGCTTTGGGTTGACGGCGACGAAGTTGAGAACAGAGGATGCCATTTTTGTTCGTTCGGCCGGTGAAATGTCTACCGGAGCAAAATGTGAAAGGAAGGTGCTTTTGGATTGGTGACTGACACTGGTGATGGTGGAGAGAAGCTTTTGAGCGGCCAATTATTTATAGGGGACTTTAGTGGAGTGGTGGGCTCCATGGTTAGCACTATGGAATGGAGTGTGGACGGACTCTGATGTTTTTCCGAGCCCGTGAAAGTGATGCTCGGAAACAAAGGATTTTTTTTTAAATGTTTTTGGGAAGGTGAATTAAGAATTAGGGTGTGTTTACTTTTCTCCCATTTCCCCCTCATATTTGAGAAATTGTTTGGGTTATTGTCTTTATATTTTGCCGTGGTGGAATACGAAATTTAAATGAGTGGGGTTGATTTGAATTGTGGTAATTGGAAGACGATGAATAAAAATTTATCGATTATTATAATTTTTAAATTTGTACAAAAATTATATGTAATGTTATCAATATTTCAAAATTGAGGAGTCTATAGTCCCTCTTAGCTCCGCCACCGTTAACGGGTAGCTTCGATACATCATTTTAGTTTTGTGGAATTTGAATCAAAATGATGTATGGTTTTGGCATGTGACATGTGTTAACGGGTTCAGGTGTTGGGTTAAACCCATTGTCCGGAGCCCATCTTGGGCAGCTGGCCGAATTGGGGTTTCCTTCTCCCCTTGGGACGGTGCATGCAGAATGCCCTAGGAGAATGTATAAATAGTGTATTGCAACATCGTTGTACGTGAAGAAAGACTAAGAAAACTTAATAATATTTCAGCTCGGAGAGTTCTAACTCTCACGTGGACTAGTCCCGTTACCGGGGAAACCACGTAAATCTATGTGTAGTTTTATTGTTCTGTTCAGTTCAGTTCAACTTTTTCAACATGGTATCAGAGCTTTCTGCATCTGATTCTGATCGGCTTTCTGTTCGACTCAATTCGAAGAATTATGCGCTATGGGAGTTTCAGTTCAAGGTGTTTGTTGAAGGGCGAGGGCTGCTCTCGCTGTTGACTGGTGATTCGCCGCGGCCTGCGACTCCGCCGGCGACTGTTCAAGAGGTTGATCGCTGGGTCCAAAATAATACTAGGGTTAAAACTTGGATTCTCGGCTCCGTTGATCCCAACATTGCTCTCGGCCTGCGTTTGTTTACAACCGCGGCAGAGATGTGGCAGCACTTGGCGTCTACGTACGCAACCACTAGTATCGCGCAGCAGTTCGAGCTTCAAACCGCACTCGCACGTCTGGAACAATGAGAGCTGGATGTCACGTCCTATTTCCAGGCGGCGCAACTACTGTGGACGTAGCAGGATCTGCTCCAAGCTTCGCTTCGTTCCGCCCCGGTCTCGGCTGACGTTCGGGCTGAGCGTTCTCAAGCTCGTCTTCTTTAGTTCTTGATGCGGCTGCGCCCGGAATTTGAGACTGTTAGGGCCACTTTGCTGAATCAGGATGATCTTAAGATGGATGGTGTGCTGGGTACGTTGGTTCGGGAAGAGACGCGACTCCGAACACAGTCACAGCTCGATGCGCGGCCTGGAGTTGGTGATCCAGCTTTTGCAGTGGCTGCTCGTCGCCAGGAAGGGCGGGCTGTTGATGATGACGTTTTTGCTGTTGGCAAGCCTCAGTTTCAACGACGTGTGCCTGTGTCCGAACTCACCTGTCATCATTGTCAAGAGGTGGGTCATGTTCAGAAGAATTGTAAGGTTCGGAATTTCTATGTTTTCTGCAAGAAGGGCGGCCACATCATCTCTGAGTGTCGTCGTCTAAAGCTGCGTGCTCAAGGAACTGTTGGTGCTGGCCCGGGTTCGTCGCCTGCTGCGGGTGAGTATGCTACGCAGCCCCCCGCCTCCTGCTGTTGCTGAGGCGAGCTCGAGTCATGGAACTCCGTCACCACCTGCTGCTTAAGTTGGCCTTACGTCTGCCGACGTAGAACGTTTAATTAATGTTGCCTTCCAACGATCTCTTCCTACAGCTATCTCGTCTGCTTTTGCTACTTTCCAAGGATCAGGTAACGTCTCTAAACCATGGCTTTTGGATTCGGCGTGTTTTAATCATATGACTAATACTATGGATCAACTTCGACGTGTTCAGCCGATTATGGACAAGTCAATCCAAGTTGCCAATGATTCTCGGTTACCTATTGCTCATATTGGTGACTTTGTGGACTCTACATTATCTCTACCCCATACTTTACATGTCCCGAAACTTGTTCCCAACTTGGTTTCTATTGGACAGTTGACTAAGCAAAATTGTCGTGTTGTGTTCGAACCTTCTGGTTGTATTGTTCAGGATTTGACGACGGGGAGGCAGATCGGCCGGGGAAGTAAACATGGATGGAGTTTTCATTTGGAGGAGCTATCGGATCAACCTTGTCGGTATTCTTCTCCTGCGCAGCAAGATTCGGTGTCTAGGGAATCATTATTGTCTGCTTTTTCGAGTGTTAAATGTTCGTATATGGACCTTTGGCACTCTCGTTTAGGCCATCCCCATTCGAGTCGATTGGTTGCTATGTTTAAACAAAATTTATTTGGGAATAAAAGGGTTGATAGCTCCTTTGGTGATTTTGTTGGTACGAGTTGTGTGGAGGCCAAGACCACTCGTAGTTCATTTCCGTCTAGTCAAACTGTGATCACTGAGCCATTTCATGTAGTTCGCACGGATCTCTGGGGTCCGTCACCTGATCTATCTCGTCATGGGTACAGATATTTTGCTCTGTTTGTGGATCATGCTACTCGTTTCACTTGGGTTTATTTTTTACGTCTTAAGTCAGAGCTGTTATCCATTGCTACTGAGTTCATTAAGATGATTCAGACCCAGTTTGTTTGTACGGTGCGCGTGGTTCGGTTTGACCCCGGTGGGGAGTTTAGCTCTCACCCTTTGGCTGCTTTGTTTCAAGAACAGGGTATTTTGACGCATAAATCCTGTCCGGGTGTCTCTCAACATAATGGTTTGGTAGAGAGGAAGAATCGACATGTCGTGGAATTGACTAGAGCTTTGCTCCTTGCTTCTCATGTGCCACGACGGTTTTGTCCCGAGGCTGTTGCTACTACGGTTCGGTTGATTAACTACCAGATTACACCGGTACTTGGTCAGTTTAGTCCTCACTTCATGTTGTTTCATAAGCACCCGGATTACTCACGACTTCGTGTCTTTGGTTGTACGTGCTTTGTTCTTCTGCCTCGCAAGGAGCGTACTAAGCTGACATCCAAAATAGCTAAGTGCGTCTTCCTAGGTTATAGTGATATACATAAAGGCTATCTATGTTTTGATCCTAGAGCTCAGCGTCTGAGGGTGTCTTGTGATGTGGTTTTCTTTGAGCGGCTTATGTACTATCCTGTTGCGTCGGCATCTGATGATACCTCGGTGTCCCTTCCTTCCTTTCCCGATGAGCTCAATGATGATGGTACTAATATACTTCCCCCCGACTCGCCTACCCCCGACTCGTCCCCAGGTTCCTCGTCCTCGGTATTGTCATCTCCCAGCACAGTGACATCGTCTTCGTCTCCGGAGGACCCTGGTCCTCGCCGCTCACTTCGTGCCACAAAGGGTCAGCTTCCTGTTCGGTATCATGATTTTGTTACTTATAATGTTGATGCTATTGTTGTTCCTACATGTTATAAATAGGCACAAGGTGATCCTCTGTGGGATGGGGCCATGGATGTGGAAATTGATGCATTACATGCTAAGGGGGCCTGGGAAGTTATTGATCGTCCTCCGCCTAACATCCCAGTTCTAGGGTCTCGATGGGTGTATGCACTAAAGCTCAAGGCCAATGGTAGTCTTGAAAGGGCCAAAGCTCGAGTGGTGGCTCAAGGTTGTGGTCAGGAGTATGGTTTGGATTATGATGAAACTTTTGCCCCAGTTGCCAAAATGCAGACTGTTCGTACTCTCCTTGAGGTTGCTGCGGTTCGGGATTGGCCATTATTTTAGTTGAATGTCTGGAATGCATTTTTGCATGGAGACTTGAAGGAGGTGGTATATATGCGTCATCCGCCTGGGTATAAATTCGGCCGTCCGGATCAAGTTTGCTTGCTACGGCTGTCTCTATATAGTCTTAAACAAGCTCCTCGTGCTTGGTTTGAGAAGTTCCAGTCCACGATTCTGGGGTTTGGTTTTCAATAGAGTCTTATGATCCGTTTTTGTTCACTTATCAGTCTGGTTCTGGGCTTATTGTTTTACTGTTATATGTTGATGATATGATCATTACAGGTGATGATGTGCAGGGGATTCAGCGTCTCAAGCAAGGCCTTCATATGTTCTTTACTCTCAAGGAGCTTGGGACGTTGTCTTTCTTTTTGGGGTCTCGAAATTACTCGATCACCTCGAGGCATTTTGCTGGCACAAAAGAAAGTATATCTCGGAGTTGCTTACCTGGGCTCAGTTTGAGGACTGTGTCTCGGTTTCTACGCCTATGGAAGCCAATATGAGGTTTGCTAAGGATCCTGGACCGCCGGTTTCGAATCCGTCTCAGTACAGACATTTGGTTAGCAGTTTAATCCATCTTACATCTACTCGTCCTAATATTTCCTATGCTGTACAGGTGGTTAGTCAGTTTATGGCTAATCCCAGAGCCGATCATTTGTCTGTTGTTCATTGTATCCTGCATTACTTACAGGGCACCAGGGATGTTGGTCTTTTTCTTTCGTCGACTGGTGAGTTATCTCTCCAGGCTTACTCTGATTCAGACTTTGCGGGTTGTGTAGATACTCGTCGCTCGACGACTGGGTGGTGTATTTGGTTTGGGGATGCTTTTGTTAATTGGCGCTATAAGAAGCAAGATAAGGTGTCAAAGTCATCCACCGAGGCAGAGTATCGGGCTATGTCGGATGTTGGGTCTGAACTTGTGTGGCTCCAGAGGCTGTTAGCTGACTTGGGGATACACTGTCGATCGCCCATGGCTCTATATGTGGATAACACTAGTGCAATCCAGATTGCAGCTTACCCGGTTCTTCATGATAGGACCAAACATATCGAGATTCATGTGCACTACATTAGAGATCTTGTTCGTGATGAGGTGGTTCAGCTGCACCATGTTGTTTCAGAGGATCAGTTAGCAGACCTGTTCACTAAGGCGTTTATGCAGTCTCGTCATTGGTTTCTATCTAGCAAATTGATGCTACGTAGTAGTCATCAATTTGGTGGAGGCTGTTAACGGGTTCAGGTGTTAGGTTAAGCCCATTGTTCGGAGCCCATCTTGGGCAACTGACCGAACTGGGGTTTCCTTCTCCCCTTGGGACGGTGCATCCAGAATGCCCTAGGGGAATGTATAAATAGTGTATTCCAACATCGTTGTACGTGAAGAA